AGATTAGGTGGGTTTTAGGGGGATGGGTCTGGGTGGGATGCTCTGAGGGTCGGTGTGGACTTGTTAGGCCGAAGGGCCTGCTTCCACACTGTAGGGATTCTTAACTAAAAAGAAACTTCTCACTGTACTGAGGCACGCGTGACAGTAATGACACCAGGTCACGCTCATTGCTCTGACCGAACAAAGGCAGGTCGTCGTCACCCTCCTGTCCCACCATGCCTCTCGCGATTTTGCTAGACCTCCATCCAGTTCCCCTCACCTCCCGCCAACCTCAACAAGGGAGCCCTGTCCAATCTCTGCCCAGAGGAGTCCAGGGGGGACTTACACTTTGCTCATGCACTTTGGTAAGAATTATAAAAGCATGGACTATTTTCTAAACGGAGAGAAAATTCAGAAATCTGAAGTGCAAATAGACTTGGAAGTTCTAGTCCAGGATTCTCTCAAGGTAACCTTGCAGGTTGAGTCAGTAGTTAGGAAGGCAAATGCAATGTTGGCATTTATTTTGAGAGGACTTGAATATAAAAGCAGGGATGTACTACTGAGGCTCTGTAAGGCTGTGGTTAGGCCACATTTGGAGTATTGTGTGCAGTTTTGGGCCCCATATCTCAGGAAGGATGTACTGGCCCTGGAGCGGGTTCAGAGGAGGTTCATGAGAATGGTCCCAGGATTGGAAAGGTTAACATATGTGGAACGTTTGAGGACTCTGGGACTATACTCATGGGAGTTTAGAAGGATGAGGGGGGATCTAAATGAAATTTTCAGAATACTGAATGGCCTGGACAAAGTGGATGTTGGGAAGTTGCTTCCATTGGTGTAGGAGAGACTAGGACCCAAGAGCACAGCCTTAAGAGTAAAGGGTAGGCCTTTTAGAACGGAGATAAGGAGAAACTTCTTCAGCCAGAGAGAGTGGTGAATCTATGGAATTCGCTCCACAGAAGGCTGTGGGGGCCAGGTCATTGAGTACATTAAAGACTGAGATAGACAGGTCCTTGATTGTCAAGGGGGATCAAGGGTTATGGGGTGAATGGGGTTGAGGAACTTATCAGCCATGATTGAATGATGGAGCAGATTCGATGGGCCGAATGGCCTAATTTCTGCTCCTATGTCTTATGGGGAGAGAGTCAGGCCCCCAGCTGAGGGCTCCTGGCACCCACGGTCGCCCATTCTGGCCGGGGGCGCGCGCAGACTCACCGGATTTGAGGATGGTCTCGCGCTCTGTGCCGTCTATCTTCTGCCTCCCGATGAGGTAGCTGGTGGTGTCGGCGAAGTAGATGTAGCCGGTCTCGGCGTGGAAGTCCAAGGCCCTGGGGTTGATGAGGTTCTCAATGGGGATCATGTACTCGTCGGGCACCTTGGCGTTCATGTCCATTCCACGAATGATGCCTGGGCGTCCTTTCCCGTACACCAGGAACAGCTCGTGGTCGGGCTCTGGAACGGGGAAAGGGAGAGAGCGGATGAGGTGGGGGGAGTGAGAGAGGGGGCAGGGGGACAGAGAGGGGGAAGGGAGAGAGGGAAGATGAGG